CACTTCCTGCAGGGGCAAGGTTTCAAACTGAGCTGCTTGGATCAAGCAGTTCATGATCCCTATCAACTGTAGATGTCAGGGCAGGCTGCGGCGCCGTGGGGATGGAGCTGCACGCACCGAGAGAAAATGCAACTCTTGTCTATCCAGGGCTGACCTTACATGGCTGCTACCTATCCTGTGGATTCATCACTTTTGTCTGCAAGTGGCTGCAGCGCAAACAAGTCTGCACAGAATGATCATCCGCTGCGGAAGGTACAAAATGCTTGCGATCACATCGCTGGACATCGCCGTTGGGATGCTGCCAATGCAAAATGGTGCTGCTACTCTTGAAGTGAGCAATGTGTCTGAGATATTTTTCTTACTGCTGAAAACAAGGGCCTATCGGGCCACCTGATGGATTCTGGTAGTTGCGAAACGTCCGGTATACATACCGCTTCGTCGTTGTACAGTCGCAGGAGCTCACTGCTCAAAGGGACTAACGGTCCGGGTGAGTCTCCGCTACCAATGTTAATGAATGTTGCTGCAGCTTAAAGCTTTGGCGCATATAGTTCGCTGCCCTGGTTTAGCTGTCCACAGAGATAGCCGGCCTCCTAGGTCGCCCAAAGGGGCTACGCAAAGACGTCTTCGGATGTTTGCGCTTCGAGAGAGAGAGAGTAGTAGTAGTAGTAGTGGTAGTAGCAGTAGCAGTAGTGGTGGTAGGTGTGGCGGTAGTACTACTGCCCGATCAGCCAATGCTTGCAAAGGGGCAGCGGGCAGGTGATGCAGCGCAGCTTGTAGATTTCCGCACCTCACTGTTGGCACTGACAACACAATGAGCAAGCGCGAAGCGATTCTCCTGGTGTCATGAAGTCTGGGAGCGTGGCGACAAGAAACCCTGCACCACGGAGACACTGATGTCACACCTGCAGTGACCCTTTCAAGATCTTTCAAGCCAGTTTTTTTTGTTTTTTGTGTGTGTGTGTGTGTGTCTGCGGGTGAAGGTGTAACTACACTCTGTCTCGTATTCTACCAATCTGTACTATGGCTAGTTAACTATGTCGATGCCTCGTGCAATGTGTCTTCCAGGATAGCTTGTCAGACGTTGACAACCGCCTCTGCAAAACTCTAGAGCCCGCAGTCAGGAGCCTCAGTAGTCAAGCATACACCAAACAAGCTCTAAACTCTGCTACTTCTATAGAGAATGCCTGGACAACCCTGAAGCCCGCGAGCCCCAAACCCTGAACGTGATTTAGGTCCTGCGTTACGCGGGGCAATGCACATCACTTTTCCTCATTGTGTCTATTTCTGTCTCAGGGGTTTGGGTCTGCATCTGGCATCAAGAATAAGTGAGCTCTGTCTCCTTGACATTCATCTTTTAACAAGAAAAACATGTCACGGTTCTAAGACCCAACGGCAACGTCTGCTCCGTGCCGGCAAGGTGAGACGCCATCTCCTTCGCCTTATGTTCACCCGTGTTCAGAGGTTGAACCGACAGAATGAAGCCCCTTGCACGAATGAGATCCGCACATATTCCGCATCATTCGTGTTTGCAAATGCCTGGGCACCATTGCCGCAGAATTGGCCCATTTGCTGGGAGAAGGACTACGTGAGACACCCATACATCTCTCAACGGTCCATTGCTGGTCTGAGCAGGGCACCACCAGCAACTCCAGCGAAGCCCGGTGGTCCAAGGCAGCCAGGCTTTGTTGGAAGACCTGCAGGAAGTGGCACAGGGAAGGGCAACCAGACCGACAATCCCATCCCTGCGAAGAAGGCCGCGGCGTCTCGTAAGGCCTGCGACAAACACTCCACTGGCACCTGCAGAGGCGAGTCTCTGACTCTGACGTGCAGAAAGTTTCATGGACTCCTACAGTGCTGCGCCTGGCACTGCAAGTCCACCAAGCCCCGAATGCACGTGAACAGGGACGGCCTGTCTCAACAGCCCGAGTGAAAACACATTCTCAGAGGCTTGGCAACTTCATCACTATCATACATATCAAGGCATTTCGACGCAAGTGACATGCCCTTGATTGTTCACAATGGAACTTATTCGACTTGAGGGGCAAGCCGAATCCAACGAAAATTATACTATACCAGGTTAACGGCTACGTATGCGGGACGATCCGGACGTGGACCTGTGTGCGCGGGAAGGGCCGGGCTTGTTCCAAAGCATGTGGGACGTGAATGATGCAGGGGTCAGACGCAGTGGACACAGGGGATGCCGCTATCGGGCAACGTAAAATGGCAGACTGCCTGCGCACGAGGGGCTTCGTCGTGAGAATGTGGATGAAGGAGACGGACGGCGTTGCCATTGCCGCGGTGTATTTAGTTTCTTCCTCAACAAGCAGAACTGAAACCTATCTCTAACAGAAAACCTTCCGGCAGAAAGCATTGTGTATAGGACGGGTTGAGTCCAAAGCCAAGAAAAATCGGCCCCAAACTAAAGCCAAACCTTGTCCTAATAGAAAATCCGGCAGAGGCTTTTGGCTGAGGCTGGCGGCCCCCCGTTTCCTTTGCCAACGTTAGCTCTCCTTCCTTGTTGCAAACGCTGTAGATTGCAGCCTTTGCTACTGCTCCGAGGCTGCAAATGCTTTTAATTAATTGCAGCAGTTCTGGCGGTTCAGAGGCTCGGAACGATATGAATTACTGCATACTGCGTTTTTGGTATTCACAAGCCCCAAATGCTGTCAAGTACGAAACTGTTGTCAACTACAGCATTCCCACTCAGAAGCTCCAAATGCTGTGAAATTACAGCATGTCCGATTCTTCAGAAGCTTACAATGCTGCGAATCCGCTTGCTCAAAGGCTAAGCGGCTAAAGCATTTCCAGCTGTTCATGTGCTTGAAACAGATGCTGTAAGTTGCGCATGTCGTGACAAGAAAGTTTTACATGTGGTAAATTTCAGTTGGTCTCGCATGATGGGCTCTTGGATTGGGCTAACATTGACAAGAACAAAGCGGTGGTTGTTTGGAAAGGGTTCATGAAGGAATGTTCGCCTGGCTTAACCATACGCGGCTGGGTTGGGGAAGGTCCAGCCCCACTTGCGTTTGCAACTAGAATGCTCGAATGATGAAATTCTTGAAAGGCTTTTTGAAGGAATGTACGGAGTGTACATTGATGGCGCGACATTGGTGAAATCAGATTTGCACGGCTTATAAAACGCAGGGGGCTGGCGCCCCCAAAGTTGCAAACAAAATGCTGGTATGATGCGCTGTTGGAAAGGATTCGTGCGGGAATGTCGATTGAACCTTGCTTGCCTTCAAGCTGAAAACAACTAAGGCCGCTTTGAACTGGGCAGAACTGGGCCCCGAGGCGTCAGGCATGCTAATGCATGCTACTAGGATCGGAAGGTGCATTAGCCCATTTGCCCTGCCCTCATCAGGGCGGCACTTCCCTGGTTGGCCGAAAGGTCGCAGCATTTTCAAGACCAAGGCTGGCCCATCCAGCCCACGACCGCACAGTCGCCCAACACTGCGCAGGGCTGCCAGCGCCGGCAGTACTCTCTGTAACTTCAAACAAGCAATCCTCTCCCTTCGACAATCTTCGACAGGTAAAACAACTCAAGGACAATGTCGATTTCCATCCACGATTACCATCAACTTCTTGCGATCCGCGGCGTGAGTAATGTCTTCCCTAACCTGTACACTGCCACCCACCCACACACACACACACACACTCACACACCAGTGCATCATCACATCATGACTCGTCGTCGTGCTAACCCCCCAGAAACTTGACGTACCTTGACTAGAAGCCTGCGGTGGCTCTACAATGCCCTATCTTCGAGAGAATGCTGACAAGAATGCAAATCATACCATTCGTCAGCGAGCTATAATCAGCTGCCCACTGCCGGTCGGTGAGCTTGCGGGCGGCATGGGCGGCGAATGCGGTGACAAAGTGCCGCATCACACGGCGTACTGATGCTGCCAGCTTCTTCTAATCCCTGTCCAACATATGCACCATCAAGTCACAACATGATGCTCCCAACCGGCCAGCCTCAGATGTGCCAGGTTGGTGGCGGCCTTCGAAAGGAAGAGCCCTACGTCTTCTGGCCTGGCACGGCTATGCCATGTTGCTCCTTGTGCTTGTCCCAAACAATCACCCCCACTTCCGGCCTGTTCAAAACAACGAGAGCAGTAAGTACAGCGGATAAAGCCTCTCACGAGGCATGAATCTCAGACAAAAGCTGCAATCCTGTCGGGTCCGTCTAGACATAGCATGGTTGCAACATGCGGCTATATAATTAATGACCTTGGTGATTTCCTTCCAACAAAACCCCTCGTGGCGCAGGTAGCTGGGCTACCCGCGCCGTGAGCCATGTCAAGTTGCTGGTTGCTACATGGAAGTGCGGACCGGAAGCTGGACCAGACGGAAAGGGCATGGGAGTCTTGGGCATGGTTGCAGAGGTTAGAGAAGCCGTTTGCATCAGTGGGGTTGTCCATCGCTGGCGTGGGCTCAGCAGTGCTCAGTTCCCTAGAGCTGACCGTTCTCCGTCTTCGCCCTAACAACAGAAGGAAGCACAAAAGACAAAAGCAATTGGACAACATTTGTGTCGTCCTGCCTGGGATGTAAATTCATCCAGCAGTGGCCATGCATCGAGCACCTGCAGAAATCTCTGTGATAGCTGAATATGCCCAGGGGACGCACCCGACGATGAAGATGAAGTCAATTCTGTGGATGAGACCAAGATGACACAAAACTCTGTTCGGCCTTCCTGTAGGCTGCAAACGCTGACCGTTGGAATCAAGGTGCTGGTTAGTTACATGAGACTGTAGGGACACAATGCAAAAGTCCGAAATGTTTACTTAGTTCGGGCGCACTCCCTGCTGGGGATGAATCGAAACACAAGCACGAGGCAAACATGAGAGCTCAGGACGACGATGCTCAGGTGAGGCCCGTGCGTGCAGTTAGTACATTCTCTCCCACCCGGCACCTCTTCATGTCTCTGCTGAGCCAGCATGGTCTGCAGCTGCTCCAGAGTCACACGGTGCCTTCTTGTCGCTGGATGCAGAGACAACAGCCGAGGCGTGCTAGCATGCACCATCTGCCTGCGAGTGCCCAGCAGTTGCTTCATAGCCTGTAGCAGATCAGAAGGCAAAGCTCTGTGCTGAACGAACTGATTTGTGCCCGGCACCGTCGTTCGGCACAGCGCGAAGCCGAGGCAGAAGAAGCAGAAAAGGCAAAACTCCTGGGCCTGAGATGTGCGCTTTTGCCGATTCGCTTCGCACACCGGCAGTTTGGGTGGGCGGCCAATGGAGCTGCCGCCAGAGTGGACATGAAGGAAGCCAAGACATCCCGCGCAGGGACCTCCCAAAATTGCCAGGGAGCGGAGACATCTGCTATGCACATCGGATCCGCGCACCATCGTTGCCAAAGTTCGCTACTGGAAACCTCGGTATGGCACTACTCGCGGCCCAATGGCTCGATGCGGCACATGGGTCGCCAGTTAACGTGTAGTGAGTTCTGAGACCCCAAGCCCTATTCCATTTATGACAAGGCCCCGATATTGCCCTACGAGACCCCAATTCCAAATAACCCGAATTCTTAAACCCTTACTTATTCTGATAGTTAAGGGCCCTACATGCCTGAATCAAGAAGGAATGCCAATGAATGCCAATGACGAAACATCCAGCCACTAAAGTCTACCACTGTCACTCCGCTGCGACGTGTTTGATGAACTCAGGTCCGCGCTTCAAGTAAAACGTCGCCTGAGGGACTGGCATGTTTTGGAAATAGCGCAGGAGCTGCAAAGTTCGAAAGTCAGCCCAGTCACTCTGCAACAAACAGATCCCGGGACCCCTGCTGCAGAATCTGGGTCAGATATGAGATGAAGACAACGCTACCTGAACAAACATGACACCGGACCGTGCAGGAGCCCACTCTGCGCATGTTCAACAAGTGCGGAGAAAGTACACAAGAACCCGTCCTCATCTACCCAGCTTCCGGGCAAGCATGGCCCTTTAAGAAGCTGTGAGCCAGTGTGACATCAGGGATTCAACATACTCAACTCAATCCCGAATGAACATCGGGATCTCACGCATGAGGCTAGAACTGGTCAACACCGCTGTTTTCTGTTTGCTGGCAGCTGCTGAACACCTCTGAACACTTTGTTGGAGATGAAGACCTTTTTCCACTGGCGGGCACATCGGCGGCTTTGGATCCTGGCAGCAAACTGTGTGAGGTGACAAGTGTTTCATCACACATGAAGAGGCTCGGCTGACTCTGTGGATTGAGCACGTGGCATTGCGCTTCGATTTCTCGCCTGCCCTGTAGATAGTCATGACGGCACTGAGAACAACCATAATTCGTTGCAACTTCTGGGGCATGGCCGCATGGCCACTGGGGTCGCAAGTGGCATCTAACTCGGTGTTCCTTTCCTGGTCGCTGTGCTTGATGCAACTGGTCCCTCCCGTCACCAATACGAAAAGAGACGCCAATTCCTTGCACACGTTCCATGCAATCGCTGCGAAAGTACCATGTTCTGTGCAAGGATTGCTGAAGTGCCTGCTTTGAGGCGCAGCGACGACCACATGTCCCCCTCCTATGAGGGTGTTCGTGTTACGGGTTCCACAATCTCCTCCGGCTAGTTCCTCGGGGATGAGGTTGGTCTCGTACCAATGTGTTCATAAGTTTGCTTGAAAGGATCTGCATTGTCCTGACTCCAAACTCGACACGCGCTGGCAACCGAAAAAGCATGGCAGAGCTGTACTCTGTGAGGTGGTCTGGCTGTACCCAGACTTGCTCCAACGTCATGGGTAGCCACGAAGAAGGCAGGACGAGCCTACACGGGTAGCGGAGGGGTGGGGGCTCCGACCTGCGCTCGGTCAGCGGCGGTCGGATTACAGGCAGGAATGCAAATCGTCTCGTCGGGATCTTCGATTCCAGCCTCCCTTTACAAGCCTGATGAAGCGAATAGGCTCTTCACGCACGGACGAATGTAATTTTCCTTTGCGCGCACGCGCAGTCCAACCACACGGGGCTAGGCCGCTAGGCCAGCATAAGCTACGAGTGCAATGCAGTGCCAAGTTGTGCCAAGTGCAGCTCGGGCCGGGTCCTCGGTCCTCTCACGCTCGCCACGGCCGCTTCTGCTGCTTCTCCAAGGCCGCCAGCTTCAACTTCCTCCGCCTTCAAGCACTTTAGCGGTCTCAAAACTCCAGAATCTTTGTTTGCAAATCAAGTGAGGGCCTGATTCTCTCCGCTTTGGCACGGGTCTTCTCAAGGTGCAACCTTGCGTGGAAGGGCGAGAATACTGGCGAGAACCCCAGTGCCGACTCAGAAGAGACCTCTGAGATTTCGACTTTTGCGATAGATACTCCTGTTGCTTCCGCCCTGCAATCACAAAGCTGCGGGGGAATCGCCGCTCGTTTCACTCGCTCCGCTCGCTCCACGGCGTCACCAGGCCTGGAGGTTTCTGTTTGTCCCAGAGCCTCAAGCCACGCCGCTGGGCAGCTTCCTGCCAGGTGTCTCCACGCTCGAGCGCCACCTGCCAGAGACGACCCTGCAAAAGCTGTTCCACAAAGCTAGTCAGGAAAGCACATCCGCCTCGTGCGAGAGGATTCGGATTCGCTTTGGCTTCACCGGCATCTTGCGAAGCTGGATAGGCACGATGGGATCGTAGCGCTCTTCCTGCTGCCAAGCTACACACAAACCTGCTGAAGGCCCTTCCGGTCTCTGCTTTTCGATTCTTGCTAGGCCCCACAAAGCGCATCTCCTTGAGGTATTCCAAGTGCGGCTGCCACATCCAGGATGGACCTCGGGAGCCGACACTCGCAGTCGGAGTCGCATCAGCATCAGCTACCACCAGGTCGGGGCGACGGCTCTCGGCCTCGGCCAGAAGGGGCTCTTCCTCTGCGAACCGCTGGAGAAGCGGGTGAACCTTCTTCCTAAGATCCGCCGGCCGCCGTGAGGTGAGAGGAGGGGGCTTCTGTAACAGGAAGCTGTGGCCGGAAAATCTGAGTGGCACGCTTGGATGCCAGCTCAGGTCTTGCAGGACTCACAGGGAAGGCGTTACGCTGTGGTGCCATCTCCTCGTTGCTCCGCACAAAAGGACATGACTACTTCCAAGCAGGCCAGGTAGAGGCCTTTTTGGCGATGTCCATTGAAAGGGAGACGTCCTGCAAATTTTACTCCGGAGTTCCTCACAGCGCTCCCTCCGTGAGTCCGTGAGTCTCCTTGCCGCCTCCAAGCTCGAGGTCGGTCAAGCTTCGCCCATCACCGTCGTCAGCTTCGCTGATTTCCGGCAGCTTGTAAGGGGCTTTGTCCGCCTGCAGAGCTTGAAAAGGCCCAGGCCCTCAATGAACTTCCTGAAGGCAGGGACCGAACCGAAGCCCAACACAATATCGCAAGCACTGCAAGCTGAAGTGAACCTAACATGGGGCCTCCTAGCGAGCAGAACATCCTTGCCTCCAGCACTAGAGGTTCGGCTGCGCCTTCCAACTTCAATCGCTTGGAAGAACTCACGTCGTGGCTTTGCTGCAGCGCCTTCGGGAATGAGCTCGTAGGCATCTTCCAGGGAAAATCGGACCTTGATCAGTTTTTGGAGCTACACCCATTGACTCATCGCACGGCGCTGGTTGATAGATTCGTGTGTGTGTGTGTGTGTGGCTGTTTCTAGCAGTGCCCTATAGAGCTGCGGCAGCTGGCAAAGTTGAATGGTTTGCATAATATATAGCACACGCCCTTTGGCAGCGACAGCCAGACTCAAGCACCGGTGCCAACAGTCTCTGTCTGCACGGGGTCGCACAGCAACGCATGGGACGAGGAAGCAAACGCAGGACACCTGCAATCCTGGGTCAACCTCGGCAGAATCGACCGCTGCAAGCAGTCAAAGAAGAGAGGGTGGAAGGCGAGAGTTCTCAACGGCACCGGTCCGGAGCCACGACACGCTCGACACTGCGAGCAAAGGCAGCAAAGGCCGAGACTTCGAGGCCCCGCACGCGCAGCGCCAAGGGTGCTCGAGGGTTCTCTTCCGAAGTCACAGGCACCTTCCCGGAGAATAAACAACCAAAAGCTAGTGGCGGCATTTGCCACAGGGCCTCATGAGGCAGCGCGGTCTCGAACTGCACGAACTGACCAGGAAAGAGACCTGAGCGTAGACCAATTTATCAGAGTCGTCAAGGTAGCTAAATTGTTTCACCCCCAATTTGTTCGGATGCCACCGAGGGACGCCGGCTGTCATGCCACCGAATGTCTCGGCGAAGGGCTCGGATCATGTTGAAGGCATCCTGGATCAATAATAGAATCATGATAGTAAAGTACAAGCATCCGCAAGCAATGCCAGTGAAGCAAAACATCCATAGGAATAGCATGAATAGCTGACTAGCTGATCTGCTGCCGCCGAAGATGGTGCCAGCATGCAATGCACTGTGGCCGGCTTTGGGCTCAATTTGCTTCTTCCCGCAGGGTGTCGAAAGCTCTCTGCGCAACGCAGACTCCAAGCAAGAGCCACCGTAGATCAATCACAGAAGCAACCTCGTCGCCGACTTCCGGCAATCGTTTCAATACGTTTCGGCAAGCTGTCCCCCTTGCTTCCTCCATTGAATGGGACAGCGCCCAGGCACGGCTCTTCTCGGTATGGTCAACGGTTTAGTGCCTTGAGAGGGGGGGTGGGCAAATCGTAAGTACCCAAATGCACGGCCACCAGGAGTGCATGCAAAGCCACCCTCCTGCTCCTCCTCCTCCTCCCGCGGACAACTTGTTGAGGGGAGCTCCGATTTTGCACAGTCTCGAAGTCTTAGGAGTGGAACTGCAAGAGGCGGGGTGTTTTAAGGCTCTGAGGCAGGCCAAGACAGGTTGGTAGCTTTTCCAGAACCCTACACACTTCTCGCTTCCTTCCCTGGCGGTGACCTGCACTGCTGTGAACAGGCATGTCTACCGACTTCGTCGCAGGACTGTGCATGGCGCACTCGCGACTGACTCCATCGCACACCTGCCTGCTCCTCGGATGGAACGATGTAGCCCTCGCCCGCAGCCTGCTGTACAAACCATGATCATGGCATCCCTACCTGGCACAGGTGGCCTCATCCCACTCAAAGACGACTCCGGTCTGGAACCGAAGAACCGAAGGATCCGGACCTTCACGTGACGAGGCTATTGCGCTTTCGGAATGAGGCAGATGGGGCTCCAACTTTGGATAATGGTGTTGTCCAAGTAGGTGCACCTGGGAACACTGCCGGTAAAGTCGGTAAAGTGCAAAAACTTTAAACGGCTTGGGCTCAGGCTTGGCCCCATTTACCACATCACCGGGCAACACGTCGGTTCCAATAGAACCGAAGTTTCCCTCATGTGCAGGTATTTGTGCCTAGCATTGCCTAGCGGTTGCCGTCGGAAGCCGTGGGTGCCAGCCTCTGGGAGGAAGCCGAAGACTCCAGTGGTAACGTCCTGCACATGCTTCCAGTCACATTGCTCGACTTACGGCGACTCTGACTAGCATCAGATATGGTCAGAAGCTTGTTTCTACGTTTCAGCAAAACACATCTTCATATGCGTGTGTGATGAGTGATGTCGCATGCATGTCTGTATCCTGTATGCAAGCAGACAGGCAGGCAGGCAGGCAAGCAGGCATGCGGGCAGGCAGGCAGTCACAAGAAGCTCCTTGCGTCAATGGACGTACCCACAAGCAGCTGGAAACTGTCATCCGAAATGGGCAAGCGTGAAACACACTCGTGGACGAAACAGGTCGCATAATAATGGACGACCAACACAGTTTGCAAGAGCACCGCGGACAGCTTGGGCCGGGACAGCTGGAGCGGTTCAAACGTTCTGTCGCTGGACTGGGTAATTTAATAGCAAGCAGCTGGCCGCCAAATGTCCTGCACAACAGCACCTTCTTCCGTCACCTCTTTGATGAGGAGTGAAAAATCACCTGGCCAACAAGAGCTGGAGGAAATCGCGCACAATCGAAAGCATCCTTGACACCACTTCCAGACCATGCTTCATGCGCACCTTCATAAAGGTACCTGGCGGCAAACTGGAACCACGGGCTGCAAGCAAGTTGAAGGGCTCCAAAGTGCTCTGCACCGTCGCGAACGCACTCCCCTCCACCCTGACAGGCTCGTTGCTCCACGAGTACAGCGTCTCTGCCCCGACACTGCCCCGTTTGCAGTTTTTCAAGCTAGAGCTGAAAGAGCGGGAGTGCAGATGTGGCGAAGTATATGTATGCCAATGTATGCATACAGCCGAGCTCCCCGAAGCCCATCGACACGAACTTTTTGTGCACCGGTGCTGGCGGATCAGGCAAGTGAGCCACAAGTCGAGCCGCGGGTTGCAACAGAAACAAGTCTGTTAGTCTGTGCCTACAGAGTTGAACTTCTGGGGCACTGTTGCTCCAGCGTCTTGATCTGCAGGTCCCAATCTGGAACTACTCCTTGGCACTTGGAAGGTATGAGGCTTTGCCAAGACGTACAAGGGCCAGCAGATGCCACCAGGATTCGATTGTAGTAGCTATCCTGCTTGTGTAAGTACCTCGGAGATGGAGCACAGCAAACGTGGCTTGAAGTCTGCGAACCACTGCCCACCTGCTCAGCGGTCGCTCCACTGGCTCCTGCAGCAGGCTGACGGATGACGACCTCAAATGCAGGTCGATTCGTCATTCTTTTTGAAGTGTGGAAATCTCTCAGCCCGCGGCTGTTGCCATCTGTCAGAGGAAGTAGATGGCGTTCTGGCCTGCCACAGCTGCATCTCCATCGATTTCAATGTCTCTTCCTTCGCGGACTGTGTCCCACACCAGCTGCTTCGACCGCGGAGGTGGGAGCAAAGCGCAGGTGGCTGGCCTAGCTGCTGCGAAGCAAAGAGCAGAAGTTGAGATGAGAATGCAACCGATGTGAAGAATCCGGCTCTCGGCTTGCATCGCTCATGACTGCGTCTGTGCCTTGCTCTGATGATCATCAGTTGGCTACTGCTCTGTCACATGCCAGAGGTGAGGAAAAACCTTTAAACGGCGAACTCGGGCTTAGCCCGTCCTCCTTCTTTACATGGCTACCAGGCTACCAAGCAAGCCATGAATTGTCGGAGCCGCGGGGAACAAGCAGTCCCGAGTGACTTGCTTCGAAATATGTTTGTATTGCATTCCATCACTTGTGTGGGCATACAAGTCTTCCGGGTCCAAGACCAATGCAATTTGATTGTGAGACTCGAATCATATCAGTCCTCGAACCACAAAAACGAACAACATTGCGAGAAACGAGTACGCAGTGGTCGTCACCTCAGATGTGGATCAACATGTGGTACTTTGCCTTGGAAACCCTAGCATCCACCCAGGCAGCCCAGGCACAGCAAAGGCGAGCTTGTTTGTCCTGGGCAGCAGGTCCAAAAGGCAAATTGTTTGCCAAGGCACATATACATGATTTGCAACAACATGCAGTAACATCAGCAGCTTGGCAGCATGGCTCACTGTGCCGACACTTTCGTCATGATGGCAGGACTACAATTTCTTGTGCTTAATTCGTCGCTTGTCGTCTGCTGTGTAGCACCGGCCTAGCTTGGGTTTGCTCAGGGTTTGCTAATGCAACATGCATTCGGGTTCAAACTGCATGAATAGTGCGGCGGTGTTGATGTTCTGGCAACATGCCTGGTCGGCGCTGTGCCCAACTTGGTCATTGTTGCGGTTGCCTGTTTGTCCAGCTTTCTAGGGGCTCTGAATAGAGGACAACTGTTTCGGAATGTACGGCAAAGAAGGTGCCAGGCTACTTGTAGCCGAAAAGTCACAGCTGGCAGGCGAAAGGTTCAAACCGCTTTTGATTGTGCATTCTAGACGCAATCCCTCGAATAGCAGCAACATTTTCACAGTTCCCCCAGTTATTGTTGACCAGAATGCCTGGATTTGTCACAGCATTCATCTAGAAGCTAGCAGGTATCAGCCTGGCGATTGAATCTGTGTGACTGTGGCCTTTAGAGCGAGCATCAGTGGCTCCGTTTTGCGCCTCTCTTGTGCATCCACTGTGTTTATGAACTCTTCCACGGCTGCGTTCCACTTCAACAGGATTACACTGATTACACTTCTGGAGGCTGTCCTCCAGATTGTTCTGGTGTGCCGTCAGCGGACCATTGACTTCGGGTCTTGCAGCGCTTTTTACGGCAATCGCGAATTCGAGTGCAGCTTTGTGGTCTTGACGGCCTTTTGGTTTTTTTGGCATACAATCCAAAATAGACTTGGCATCACAGGTGGCAGTCCCCGCGTAGCACCAACATGTGAAGTGAAAGGCAGCTTCTCCAGTTCTTCAGCTTTACACTGTGCGATGTCGCTCCTTCACCATCACATGTAACCAGTCCAGCTCTTTGATTTGATGCCCTGGAACATCGGAAACTGAAGTACACTTTTCTCTTGAGCTTGCTTCGTCCGTCTCGCCGCCGCGAGTAGTGATTCCACCAGCATCCGAGTCTACGATGAAGCGATGAAGCACGCGTCTTCTGGATCGAGTTTCCGCATGGTGATCGCGTGCTCCGAGGTGTTGCGCAAGCGGTTGATGCACCTGTTGATGGCGAGCACATCCTTCTTCAGTGGCCCAACTGGAGCCTGGGGGCAAGCAAGAATCGAGGCAAGACCTTGCCATCTCTGGCCTGCTCTCTGTGGTGCCCAGTGCTGGTTGTAGATGGCGGACCGAAGACTTGCAAAATCGGCTCGTATAAGGCTCCTGATTGTCCTGCTTCCGAGACTTCTCTGAAGGAACTGCCAGGATCTGCTCTCTGCCCTAGTCGATCAAGACTTGTCACCAGTCAACCGAACAGACCTCGGCCTCAGCCCTGTTGCCCACGATCCAAACCACGATGCCCTGGAGCATCGCCTGCACCTCGCCCGGAACCTGCTTCGTCCGTTCCAGCAGCATCCGAGATTTGAACCAGCAGCATCCGAGATTCGGCGATGAAGCAAGTGTCTTCTGGATCGAGTTTCCGCATGGTGATTGTGCGCTCCGAGGTGTTGCGCAAGCGGTTGATGCACCTGTTGATGGCGAACACATCCTTTTACAGTGGCCCACCTGGAGCCTGGGGGCAAGCAAGAATCGAGGCAAGACCTTGCCATCTCTGCGCTATGTGCTGCCCAGTGCTGGTTGTAGATGGTGGACCGCAGACTTGCAAACTCGGCTCGGGTGAGCAGCTCCTTGTTGTCTTGCTTCCGAGACTTCTCTGAAGACGCTGCCAGGATCTGCTGTCTGCCCTGGTCGATTAAACCTCGGCCGCAGCCCCGTCGGCCACTATCAAAACCACGATGCCCTGGAGCATCGCTTGCACCTCGTCCGGAAGAAGCGGTAGTAATCTTTCCTCGACAGCTTGCTTGACGCCCATGCCGACCAGGAGCCTCGGACCTGCTTCGTCCGTCTCGCCACCGCGAGTAGTGATTCCACCAGCATCCGAGGCTACGATGAAGCGATGAAGCACGCGTCTTCTGGATCGAGTCTCCGCATGGTGTTCGCGTGCTCCGAGGTGTTGCGCAAGCGGTTGATGCACCTGTTGATGGCGAACACATCCTTTTACAGTGGCCCACCTGGAGCCCGGGGGCAAGCACGAATCGAGGCAAGACCTTGCCATCCCTGCGCTCTGTGCTGCCCAGCGCTGGTTGTAGATGGCGGACTGAAGACTTGCAAACTCGGCTCGGGTGAGCGGCTCCTACACGTCCTGCTTCCGAGACTTCTCTGAAGGAACTGCCAGGATCTGCTGTCTGGCCTAGTCGATCAAGACTTGTCACGAAGGAACCGTACACAGCCGGCACAACTGGCAGCCCCATGACCCCGCTACCACTGCCACTTTTCAGCCTGACCTCGGCCGTATCTTCTGCTCCATGGCCTTCTCGCGGCACTCCGGCACGATGCCTCGCCACCCAGCACCTCCAACTTCATGAGCCAACACGCCTCGATGAAGTTGCGGCCAACCTGAGCCCTCCGTCAGGACAGTGCGTCGCCACTGTGCTGGCGGGTCTAGTGGGACGACTTCGATGACAATGAGGGTGCCCGGCGGCAAAGGAAAGCCGAATCCCCCGAACCCTTTTGTTAGACCTTGCCGATGGGTTCGATTGACAGAGTACGGTTGAACGGACAATCCAAGTTGAAGATGATCTGCGTGAAAGCCAGCAGACCCTCGCCTCTCAAAGGCGGGAGCACCCTAAACAAAATTTCCACGCTGACTTCCACCTGTTCTCCTCCGCCACCAACGGTCCTGGGACTTGGGACCCAGGTGGGTTAGTATCGTGAGAAGCTACTGTGTGTCGAAACAAGGCTACGGCACAGTGACTGCAATTCATGGTGTAAGACCCAACAGTGTCTAGGACTGGCAGTCTTGCTGTTCCATCCAGCTCGAAACACTGCTAACTACGGACACAATGTCATCTTGGGAGCCTGCGGACATAGGCCCTAGATACTAGATCGAGCAGTAAGGCCGTGACATCGCCTGCGAACCCAGTCGCACCTAAGGTGGCTGCAAGTCAAAAACCCACTCTTGTTCCGAGGCGAAGTGCTCCTCGCATAGTGACCCTGAGCCTCGAAGCTCGTCAGTTACTGGGGTTCCGCCTGCGGGGGTGGTCTCGCCCTGAGCGACCGCATGATGTATCGGAATTCTTGACTTTCATACTGCCCAAGCTCACTTCGGGGGGTGGGAATGAGACACAGCTTGCCCGAAAGCAACAAAGTGCAAGCGGACTCATCATTGCAGTAGTCCATCATTCTACCGGACATGCCCCGACACTCGCAGGCGTTGCAGGACTTGCTGAACTTCCGGCATCAACAAGATGCCACGCACGCACTCGAGTGCAGACGGTTGGATCTTTGTGCAACTGCTTCGGTTCGAGTGGAGTCGGGTTCGAGCCCGCAAGACCACGCAACGCGTTACGCATCATAGTACAGCTAAAAGTTCCCGTCTACCAAGATGCTCACAGCCTCCGAATGAGGTGGGCTGCACATAACATTCGAGCCATTATTCAGCACCACGGGCGCAGCCCTGACGCAGGTCACTACACGGTGACACAGCTCGGGGGCGCCCGGAACTGAGGCATAGTAGTACGGCCTGCGGCGACGGGCCTGATCGGCATGTCGCTGAAGCGAGAGACATCACAGCGAGGCAACATGTCTCGACAACTGGCTCAAACGGTGTACGGTAGCTAGGGGAGGAAGCAGTGGATCCAGGGCCCATGCCTCAGCGCAACCCCACCTTCAGGTTTGTTTATCCCCACAATCCCTGCTTCCTTGCATCTGGCTTGTTGCATGTCACACCAGCCACATGCACAGTCTGCCGGAGGCGCTGCGGGGTGGCCCAAGCTCTCGATACGGACATGTGTGCACATGCAGGCGCCAACGTGTACGTGCTTGTCATGACACGCGACATGCATCCTGCCCGCAAGAGCTCAACGATCTCCGGAGAGGGGGAGATGGACTGGCATGCGGCGCAGCTCCTCTTGTGGAGTACCATTTACGACAGATTGCGGCGGACATGGCCACGCTGAATCAGGTGTATCACGCACTGCGCATGATGGAGCATCGACTGGATCAGCTGATGTACCCCAGAGATTCTCAGAGGGCCAAACAAGTGCCCAACGCTCCTACAAGTGATGATCTTCGATGAGCTGGACGACATCGTAGTCAAAGCGTTTTGGCGCGTTCAAGCTGCGCTCTTAAGAGCATCCGTGCTAGCCTCCAAAAGAGAAGCCGTCCATGCAGAAGTGCATGAAATGAGTGCACGACGGCTAGACGGAACTCTCGGCTGCGTGTGTAGAAGAAGCTGATGTATGTGTATATTCTCTATATATATATATACATACATGGTACCCCACTCCTGCTCAAGTCAGCCGCCTTGTCCCAAATATGTGTTCGTGTCCTGTTGTTGCGTCTCTGGGAAAACAAGTGTTTGCTTGCTATGCTTCTGGCT